CCAAGTGAAGAAATTGATCTTTCACCACAAAACAGAGCACTTGCACCCACCAAAAGGAGAATTTTCACAGAAACAGCTTGCTAAATAGAATTTTCTAACAGAAGTTTTTGTAAATATCTGCTAGGGGAAGGCGAACCTTTCTCCTCGCTTTCTCTATCCAATGCCAGGAAACATGCATAGAGATGACGATAAAAGAATTCTGTGTCTCTTCTTGTCCATGATGGTCAGTATTCCATTTCTGTGTTTTCGAAATGCCCTAGTTCTCAAACAGTTGCCTTTCAGGAGGTTTGCTAATTTGCCCTTCTGGAAGGTTTAAGCGCTCAAATTCAGGTTCACTTCTTTCCATGGTCAAACATAGCAACCTAAAATTTGATCTTTGCTCTTCATTATTTGGTAGATATTTTCCCATTTGGCTAAACATAAAAAACTAATAGGTAATTCTTAATTATTTTCTCTCTACTGTCATTATTAGATTTCTGGAGAAAGTGAAGGTCATTCCATTTAGTAAACTCAAAAATACACTTTTGTGAGTGAACTTTACTTTTTCATAATGGATTTTCAATACACACACATTTAAGCTCTGATTCTTAACACTTGTCTTAAGGCATCTTAGACTATAGGTTTCTCGTGATGCTAAGTTTACTTTGCAATCTGAAACTTATCTGAGATTTCTGTAGCATTTAAATATAGTTTGATGTCTTTGAGGATGTCAGGACACTCATGACAGCAGTAAACATAGTAATTCTAGTTTTCATAACCCTTGGCAAGTTTAATTTAAAAACCTTACTTTTGAAATAATAGCAGTGATCGCTTACATAATACTCACTGTGAGACACCAATTGTAAGCCTTGTGCACTTACTGACTTAATCCTTGAGACAACTGAGAAGGAAACGGACACACAAATAGTTTTGACTTCGGTGGACCACAGTACTCTTGGCCATCCTGCTCTACTGCCTCAAGGTTTGAGGGCAGGGAGCACTGTTTCAGACTCCATGGCTCAAGGAAGCATTTCCACAACTGATTGGATTTTTTTCTACTGTCTAAAGTAGTTTGAGGTCATATTCATTTTCATCCTGCTACTTATGATAAACACTTAAATTCTTCAAAACCTCGTTTGCAAGAAGCATTTCCCACATGCACATTTGCTTTTTGGACGCAGGTGACAAATCTTGGAGCTTATGGTTGCTAAACTCATCCATGCCGTCCTAAAGCATCCAGCCAGTTGGGCAATATGTGGGGATTTATATTCTGCTCAACTTTATAGCATCTACTAATTTATAAATAATCCTTACTAGCTGTGTAATCATAGACAAAGTACTTAATTGCTTCCTGCTGTTTCTTCTTGTGTAAATGGGGCTAGTAGGATTAATCTTGCTGTAAAGATAAAATACAAAAATGTGCACAGAACATTTAGAATGTTCTTGGGATGTGGCATAAACTGCAGTATGTATTACCTATTATTTATCCATATTGTTGACAAAACTGAATAGGATACAGGACATATATATATATATATACATATGTATATGTACACACATATATACCAGTAATATATATACAGTTGGTTACACAGTATTTATTATATATATACCAGTAATGGTCTCATGTTGCCTTTATTTTGCCTTTAAGAAGCTATTTAAGGGCTGGCCTGATAGCTCAGCAGACTAAAGTGCCTGAGTGTGAGTTTGATCCCTGCTTGCTGTGCCGGCCTTGCCCCGGGGACCCTCTGAGACAGCGGCTGAGACCTGGCATGGTGGCGTGTGCCTGTAATCCCAGCACTTGGGAGGCTGAACACAGGAGAATCACTATGAGTCCGATCTAC